AATCCATTTCTGTTGTGGAAGGCCCAGCTCTTGGGTGGTCCCAGGGTGGCGTTCCGGGCGAGTCAGGGCAAAGAAAAGCCGATGACAACTTACGAAAGTCCTCTTGTACGTTTGCAAGGTGAAAGAATGTAGGTGCTGTGCTGAGGGAATCATTGTTGATCCGCACGAAGTTCGGGATCTGATCGGCAGCCTCATGACGTCCCTGTCTTGATCACAGGGCGACTCTGGGAGACGTAGTGCTGCGTCGCGGCGTGTCATTGTAGTCTGCGGCGTGGTCTGAAGTTGTCCTGTACGGCTTCGGCTACGGCGCTCTCGGGCTGCGCAACGGTAAGATGGCTGGGAAGGGAGCGGGGCGTGATGCTGTGGATGCCGGATCAGGGTGGAGGCAAAAGGGACGTTGGTTGGAGGCTCCGGCGACCGGGGAGGCCGCCCACGTCCACGGGAGACAGACAGCCAGACACTGACAGCTGTGACGCGATGCCCCTCTCGACCCTGGCGCCGATGCCCCTCTCTACCCGCGGCCCCCGAAGTCGACTCTGCGTGGGACGAAGACTAGAGAAAGGGAATTTTCGAAACGGAATAGCACGTTAAGTCGCTGCATGCGCGAGGCAGCTCCCTGGCCACATTAGCTTTGGCGGCTAGCCGACGAGGACTGCTGGTGTTCAAGTGATGCATACGAGGTAGCGTCAGTGGAGGAGAGCTCTGGTCAGTGAGGCAGTCGTCCATCCATGATGCGGGGGGGGGTACAGATGCCAAGTCATCTGTCACCAGTTAGATGCAATGTCACTGATCTGAGGCAAAGGAGCGTGGCTGAGGGTTGATGACCACCCGGATGAAAACCAATTGGTCGGTTGAAACGTTGCTCTGGCTGCAGGTAGGGCCCTCTGGGACCGGGGAGCTGCGAGTCGCACAGAAGAGTCGGGATGCCAAGAAATGCCTCATATGTACAGTTTCTGTCGTGTAATGACAGGTGACGATGTACGAGACGAGCGACCGAAAGGCCTTGAAAGGGTCCATCGAACAGAGAGGAGGGGCACTGCAATGCCTGGCTGGCGTAGACGGACCAGCTCACGAGACGGGAAATTAGTGTAAGCAGCGGTGAAATGGTGAGCATGCAGCGCCAGCGCAAATGCCCGTCATGGTCCTGGTCCTACCCATGGCACCTAGTCCGAGTCCTGCTGATGTGGGTGTGTGCCCCCTTCCAGTTGGCGCTTGCTACTGGTGCAGCAGCATCGTCTGAAGCTAAGGCGGAGAGCAGGTTAGACTAGCAAGACACCTCGACCCAAGGAGTTTCGGTCTTGGGTAGGTCTCCTGAATGATCGAGTGCTGTCTCGTTTTATCTGCCGTGGTTGGTTTGACCTCGCCTCTTCCGGTGTAGGGCAAAGTGCCAGGCTGAGCCACATTCGTAGGTGGTGAGCAGCGTTGACTCGAAACGGGGTCCGCAGAGCGCGTCGGCCGCGCGAGAGGGGGCGCATGGCCCTCCTCTTCTGATCAGAAGAGGTCAGGCAAAGTCGTAGATGCCGGCAGAATACGAAGCGGCGAGACGAAAACGGGAGTTGGCCGAAGGTGGGAGCGAGAGGTCGGTCTGACCAAGCCATGCCGCCTTGGGGGGGCGCTGGGACTGCTGGGACTGCTCTGCTGGCGGACATGACATCGACGGATGAGAATCAGCAGTCGCCATCAAGGGCCGGGCCCACTTTCCACAGTTGATGGCCATGTGGAGAGGGGAGAAAATTTTCTTGGCAACTGGCTCGTGCTCAGGGCGCGGACACTGTACCGACATGTTGGCCCGTAGTTGGTATCCACAGTGCGGCGCAAAGAAGGACCCTCTTTCAGATCTGAGCAAGCCGGCTTGGCATCTCTGGCTGGCGGTCTTGCCCTATTCCACCTCCCATCCCTCCTCCCCTGCTCTTGCTTCGGTGCCATGCACGCCGTGCTGGGCGACTTCCTATCGCCGCTGGTCCTATCCACAGTGGCCGACTTACAGTGCCACAGCTTCAGTGGGCAAAGCTGGTTGTCGCTCGCTGCATGTCGGCCACTGACATGCTGCGCAATGGGCAGGTAATGAGCAGTGGCCATCGTTTGCCCTGCCGCCCTGTGCTGCAACTGCACCTCCACCCGCACCTGCATCTCACCTGCAGCAACAAATGTGTAATACTCCTTCCCTTCCCTCGGCAGACCGCCAAGTTCGCACACAAAGACCCCCCCCCCAAGGACCCCCGATCAGAGGGCAACTGATGCTGCTGCGTCGCCAGCCCCCGCCCGCCCCCTCCTGGCAAGCACGGCCAAATTGAACAAACGGCAACAGCCCCTAACGAGGCCCACTTATCAGGTCAAGTGCAAGTGCGATCTCTGTTTGTGTGTACAGAGGCAGAGAGTGATTGGGACGAGGCCATGGTGGATTCGTTCATGAGGTTCCCCGCCAAAGGTACCTGGGGTTGCACACCTTCAGACCCAGCAACAGCACCAGTCGAGAAGCTAGGTACCCAGCAGCTCGTGTCTGGCCCTCTTTTGAACACCTGTGATTCCTGCCCAGGTAGGTAATTATTTGACATGCTTTGCTGTTGCTGGAGCGTGCACTGGTGTACATGCCGTGCCTACCGCAGGCAACCGTCGTCGCGATGTTCGGGTCGCTTCCTAAGCTATCATCTATCACCGTCACTCTTTACTCACTGCCACCGCCTCCCTCCGTTTTGTCAGCCGTCATATGCTTATTTTCCTTCTGCTTGCATGCACTTTGTTATGGTCATTGCACGACAGCTTACAAGTAGGAAAAAGAGCCCGAGACGAGACCACGAACCCCCCCTCCCTCTTCCTCGCTGGGGCATTCCAGAAGGAGATAGCCTTCGTCTAATCATTACCAACCCACTTCCCTTCTAGTCGCCGGCCCTGCCCTGGCTGCCCCTCCCCATCCCCTTGCATTTTGAACTGGCCCACTCTCCGAGATCACCCTCTCTCTACCTAGCTAGGTACCTACCTGCCTGACTTTCCACCAGGCACTTCAGTCTATGAGGCACGCTACAATCATGGTACATTTCTCTGCATCGTCGAGACCATATTCGTCGAGGTATTGAGTACAACGCCAAAAAGTCCACCACTACCGGCATCTCGCTGCCTCGGTCACCCGTCCACATTTGACCACCTCAGTCTTCGACTATGCCCCGTCCGTTTGTGTCCCCCGAACGTTGACAGTCGCAACTCGCCTTCCCGCCCCCCCTCTCCGTCTAGACCAGTCCACGACGCCAGCCATCATGACTTTTTTTTTGCCAACAAGAACAGCTTTTTTCCGCACTCTCCACCCACTCTCCATAAACTTCGTCTTCACTTTATTGCTATCTTGCCACTCTCTCCCTCCAACGTCCCGTCGCTCAAGAATTCGTCTTCTTCTCTCATACATACTCTTCCCAGCCGCACCCTGGTCCGTCCCAACAGAACCAGCCGTTCCGCACGCACATGCCTGGGAATTCCTCAGATCACTCCCCGAACCCAGGCCGAACCAAGACCAGCA